GCCTGGATGACTCAGTCATTAAGTGTCTGACTCTTGGTTTTGACTCAGGTCATGATCTCACAGTTCATGAGTTCAGGCCCTGCATCAGGCTTTGCACTGACAGCGTGGAGCCTGCTTGGGATTCTCTCCCTCTCTCCCTCTCCCTTTTTGTCCCTTCTCCTCTCTCTCAAAAATAAGTAAATAAACATTAAAAAAAAAGAAACATCAGGGAATCCAAATTTCCCATGAAAGTACATGAAGTCATGACAGATTGATAGGGATAAAACATACCATCTTCCCCCTCAACTACAGCTGCATATTAGAGCAACATTAAGACCTGGACAAAAAGAATTTTATAAATAATTTAAATGGTTAAAATTTTTAAAAATCTGACAACAGTGGTGGTAAAGATATGAAGCAAAGGGAACTGCTGGTGAGTTGTACAAGATGGTCAAACTATTTGGAAAAATTCCTAGATAAGTATGCAAAAATAAGGGGGGCTGGGCAAGTTCACATAAACCGAGAGATTATACACAAGATTATTCACAGCAGAATTCAAAATAGCTCAAATATGAAAATAATCCCAAAGTCCATCAAGAGAGTAAATTATTCCAGTGTGTTCAAACATATTCATATGGCAATGAAAATGTTATAGCTTCATGCAGTGGCTGACAATTACTAACATAATATTAAATGAAAGCAGCTGGACATAAAAAGAAGATACTCTGTATAATTCCATTTATATAATAAAGTTCAAAAAATGCCCCATGAAAATCAAAATTAGAGATGCATATAAACTTAGTTGGGAAAATTATAAAAAGAAGCAAAGAAATGACTACCAATATGGCGGGGGGGGGGCAGGGTAGTGACTGCGAGGGAGTACCAGTGGGCTTCTGTGATGCTAGCAATATTTTATTTCTTGAATACAGGTAGTTTGGTTATTTGGGTGTTAATTTTGTGGGGGGCAGGGAGGAAATGACTGTAGTCACTCATTGTCAGATCCAGTAAGTAACCTTTTCATCCTTTTACTATTTGACATTTTTGCAGCATTTTAAACAGTTAACCCATTTCTCTCTCACTGAACTTTTGAGATATCACTTTCTCATTGATCTTTTCTTCCTAATTACTTCTCAACCAGTCTTTTTCACGGATTTCTTTTTCCTTAGCTTTTCTCTCAGATGTCATTGTTCTGCAGGTCACTGTTCTTTTTGTTCTATCCCACCTCATCCCCACCCCTACCCAGGGTGACTTCACCAAAATTCATACCTTCAATTTTCACTTATAGACTGATTCTAATAGACTTCTCTCCATGTTTTTATACCTGCAAACCAGCAACTTTCTGAAGTGTCATCTGATTTAGGACTTTTTATTTACAGAACCTTAAGTTTATATAATCAACCTACTTACCAAAATTGCAAATACAGATGCCCCTTGAACAATACAGGGGTTAGGGGTACCAACCCCCACACGATTGGAAATCATATACACCTTCTGACTACCTTAACACTTAACTACTAATAGCCTACTGTTGACCCAAAGCCTTACCAATAACATAAACTGTCGATTAATGCATATTTTGTATAGTATATGAATTATATACTATATTCTTATAATAAAAGAAACTGAAGAAAAGAAAATATTAAGAAAACCCTTAAGAGAAAACACATTTACAATAAAAAAGATCATGTATAAGTAGACCCACACAGTTTGAACTTCATTGTTCAACTGAACTGAACATCATTCCCCAAGAAGTTTGGCACTTAGTAAATCTTAAGTAAATGATGCTATTAAAACTTGAACTGTTTGATGAGTCTATACTATAGTCATTTCTTACAATTAATTTGTGTCCAACACAAAAACAACATATTTTTTCCTTGTTTTTGACTTAGTGATAAACTTGCCCACCAGAAACTTTTGGCAATTGAGGTGTCTAAGGCAAATAGCCATCTCTAACCACAGGTGCAACATACAGTAATCAGAGTAAAGGGTAAAATATTTAAGAGCACTTTACAGATACTCAATATTATTCTAAATTTCTTCATCAATATTTGGGTTAATGCTATCGTTTAAATAAATAAGAGTCTCTGCGTGGGTGTGCACACGTAGAAAAATTTTAACAAAAATAAGCCTCAGACCTTTTTTGATGAAATGGATGATTAAATGATTCTGGATAGTGAAGACTCGTTTTAATGAGATTAGAAAGCTGCTCTACTGACGGTCTTAAAGGAACTGTAGTGTTTTCTGGCCTGAAAAATTTTAATAGTTCCATTTCTGGTGGTTCCTGAGAAAAGAAAAAAATATACATATGACAATAAAAACACTGTCTTGTTAAAATATAGCATAAACAAAAGTAGTTAAAAACAGCTGAGATAAGGGAAAGCATGAACAATACTTTCTGCTGTTATTTAAACCAATAGAATCATCTGCGATATAATCTAGGATAAAGAATTTAGACTCAGGGGCACCTGGGTGGCTCAGTCGGTTAAGTGTGTGATTCTTGATCTCAGCTCAGGTCATGATCTCGCAGTTTGTGAGTTGGAGCCCCATGTCAGGCTCTGCATGGACAGTGTGGAGCCTGCTTGGGATTCTGTCTCTCCCTCTTTCTGCCCCTCCCCTGCTCATGCTCTCTCCCTTTCTCTATCAAAATAAATAAATAAACTTAAAAAAAAAAAAAAAGAATCTAGGATCAGAATCATTTATTCATTCCTTATTTATTATATGCTGGAGTTAGACTTGAATTCCAACAATTTCACATATTAGCTCTGTGATCTTGGATAAGGCATTTAATATCTTAAGACTTAATTTCCTCATTTATAAAAAAGTCTCATAATAATTTCAAAATCTGTTGTGGGTCTCATCTAGTAAAATTCCTTATTACTTAGTACTTAAGCTACAGACATTCAATTGTATAGCATCTGTTTTAATAAAGAACTAAAGTTGCCTTAAAATTTCATTTTGAAAATAGACTGCTGTGTTTTATAGATTGTAATCCTTCATCTCTATTAACTGAAGGTTAACATACATGTAAAAGTCTCAATATAGCCAATGTCAGGCATACTGTAAACATTTCAATATCATTATCATCTAAATGAAAAGAGAGAGTATTGTTCCCTTTCTAGTGGTATTTTTTTCTTAACCATTTTTTTCTCCATTTCCCTTTACCATCCAGGAAAATTTTGATTTTTAATTTCTTGCTAGCCTAGCTGGACATTGATCTACACCAGGGATTGGCAAACTACAGCCCATGGACCAAATTCAGCCTGCCTCCTGGGTTTTTTTTTTTTGTTGTTTGTTTTTTGGAAAGAAAGTTTTATTGACCCATAGCCATATCCATTTGTTTACATCCTGTCATATGGTTGCTTCTGGACTTCACCAACAGAGATGAGTAATTAAGACAAAGACCTTCTGGCCAGTAAAGCCTAAAATATTACCTACCATCTGCTTATTCTTGGAAAAAGTTTGCTGATCCCTGATCTATATAGCTGTAAAAGCAAGACCTAAATTTGCTTTTGATTTATAAGTCAGAGAAAAGTGACTAGAGGTTTACTCTGGAAGAAAGAAGAGAACGGAAGCAGAATTTCTGGGGTGCTGGTTATGTTCTATTTCTTTATCTGGGTCCTGGTTATACTGGAGTATTCTTCAATTTGTGAAATTCAATGTGCTATTCAACTGTTCTGTATTTATCTTACACTTCAATTGAAAGTTAAAAAAATGTATTTTTTAATATATTCCAATCATCAAAAAATAAGCTATTATTTGAGACTTCTAAGTTATACTAAATAAATTTCTATATGCCACTTATTAGGAGGAAAATACATGAACAACAGCCATGAAAAGGATACCAAAGGCCCAAGCTAATTTACTAACAGAATATTTAAAAGGTTTCCCCCCTCCCAGCTTTAGAGTAGCAAAAAGTATTTTCACAATCAGCACTAAATATTTGTGCAGCAGTTTGATAATAAGGATCTGATTCTACCTTATGACATTTCTACCACAAGACAGACAAGGTGTAAAGAATAATTATCCTGGTTTTACAAGTGAGTAGTAAGCTAAAGTTCATTAAGTTATGCAAGTAATTTATACTAGATCATCAATCTGAAAGTTTTTGGGCTCCAAATCTATTATTCACAGTATGATGAAACTGCTTTATGTCCCAAGCTCAGTTAACCATATAAAGAGAATATAAAATATTTCAAAAGTGAAATACAGAGAAATAAAAAGGATATGCTATTCATGGTACATAAAATGAAAATATCACTTTTTTTGTAAATGTTTATTTATTTTTGAGAGAGAGAGAGAGCAGGGGAGGGGCAGAAAGAGAGGGGGACAGAGGATCTGAAATGGGCTCTGCATTAACAGCACAGAGTCTGATGTGGGGCTCAAACTCAGGAACTGAGAGATCATGACCTGAGACAAAGTCTGATGTTTAACTGACTGAACCACCCAGGGGCCCCAAGAATACAAATATATTTTATATAAATCACTTCTGGGGTACCTGGGTAGCTCAGTCAGTTGAGCATCTGACTTCAGCTCAGGTCATGATCTCACGGTCTGTGAGTTCAAGCCCCGCATCGGGCTCTGTGCTGACAGCTCAGAGCCTGGAGCCTGCTTTGGATTCTGTGTCTCCCTCTCTCTCTGCCCCTCCCCCACTCATGCTCTGTCTCTCTCTCTCTGTCAAAAATAAACAAACATTAAAAAAAAATTTTTTTAAATCACTTCTTCCTTTTCTAAATACTTATTCTGCCTATGTTTGAGATATTCTAGATTATCAAAAGTTTGTAACACAGACAACCAAAACTTAGGACTTCAAAGGGGAAAAAACAATTTTCTTATATTAAGAAATAGATCCAGGGTTAAATTTGATATCTTCATTAAACCTAATGGAATATTACCATTAGTAATCATCAAAGTAAAAACTGATTCAAGTTGTAGAACAACCAGTGGATGCTAAAACTAGTGGAACTAGGTTTAACAAGAAATCAGACATTTACATAGGCCCAAATTATTTCTCCACAAATTACTTATTAGAAACAACAGTAACTTTACTGTAGAGAAATAAGGTGGACCTTATCAGTGTGACCCATCACTGATAATGAAACAAATTAATATCAAGAGCTTTCTGATGTAACTCACTGGCAGGGACATAACATCACTTCTGTAGTATCCCTGCCAAAAATGTATAACCTTAATCTAGTCCTGAGGAAACAAGAAAAAACCAAAGAGGTATTATTTTACATTAAAATAACTTGCCCATGCTCTTCAAAGATATCATATGACACAGGACAAATGAAGGCTCAGAAACTGTCCCAAATTAAAGGAGACTAGAGAAACAGGACAAGTAAATGCAATGTATGATCTTAGACTGGATCCTGGTAAGAAAACACAAACTGTTACAAGGATAAAATGGAGAACTCTGATGGCATTTGAATATGGGCTATACAGGAGTACTGCATCAATGTTAAACTTCATGAATTTAATAATGGTTTTTGTGATTATTTGAGAGATTATTCTTTTTTTTTTATGATTTGGGAGAAGTTTTTTTTTTTTTTTTAAATGTTTGTTTATTTTTGAGAGACAGAGAGAGACAGAGTGCAAGCAGGGGAGGGCAGAGAGAGAAGGAGACACAGAATCCGAAGGAGGCTCCAGGCTCTGAGCTGTCGGCACAGAGCCTGATGCGGGGCTCAAACCCACCATCTGATCCGTGAGATCATGACCTGAGCTGAAGTCGGACACTTAACTGACTGAGTCACCCAGGCACCCCTATTTAAGAGATTATTCTTATTCATTGCAATCCTCAATGAAGTAAATAGGGGCAGAGGAGAAGGATGTCTGCAAATTTACTTGACAGTAATTACTTAAGAATAATTAAGAAAAAAATCAATGTGTACATAAACAGAGGAAGAATGATAAAGCAAAGAAGGTAAAATGCTAACCACTGGTGAACCTTGGTAAAAGGTGTAAGAGAGTCACTCTTTACACAATCCTTGCAGCTTTTCTGCAAGTTTGAAAATTATTTCAAAATAAGTTTTCAAAAATAATGTAAGAAAGCTTGAAATTAAGATTCATTATTTAGAAATGCAATACAAGGTCATGGTTCAAATTACTGGAAATTTTGTTCATATATACAAGAACTTTTTGGTAAGATGAAATAGTATTTTATGAGAAATGAGAACACATATTAAATACTATTCCCAGCTGCTGCACAACTCCAGGGGCCTTTACATTTCACGATATGCCTCCTCTGGAGTTCTGCAGTGGCAAGGGCATGTTTCCCTTCCTCTCAAGCAAATCAATTCTTTTTGTAACTATGAATTCTAGATTCAATACAGAATATTAGGAAACCTCAAGATCACAAGTGTATCTAATACTCTTACAAGATGCTAATGAATTTTATTTATGTTCATTTCTCATTCTAATTAGTCATCTGCCACCAACCCCTCACGCAAATCTCAATATAAAAGCCTGCATATACCAGCAGATCCCTTTAAAAACCCAAAAACCAACCAAACAAAAAACCCCAAGTTCACAAGAAGACCCAAAGCAAACATTACTATTACCTGTTTCTGAGGACATGAAAAGGCTTCTTTTCCTATAGTGCGAAGAATAACATGATGCTGACCTTCCAAAATTAGCTGCTTACTATCTTCCACTACATAAGCCTAAGACATACAAAGCACAAAAATGTTACCTTGCTTGGCAATACCTCAAAAGTAATGAATGCAATTATTTGATGGAAGGTAGAAATATCATGGCTGTTTATCAATTATCAACACGATGGCTGTGTCAGCATTTCTACTTTTATTTACTCATTCAATAAATAATCTGTCAAAATCTGTTTGCCTCAGTATAATACAGTTGGGCCTGGATATTTGAAGGATACATCTTAAAATCTTTTTTCAGTTTTCTCTAGAGCTCTTAAGAAACTAGTGCTATAACACAAGTCTTTTTGTGATTGAACTACCAAAATACAGGCAAAACGTACATGCTTCTGAAATGCCACAGGGTTTATCACCTAGAAGAACATAATCGTGAAAACAGTCATAAATCTTATAAGTGGAAATGTCACACCCTTGGAGATATCTTAAACATAAGTACATATACTTAAAAAAAAAAAAAAAGGCCAATTTCATCTATATCAAAACACTGGTTCCAGCATATAACTCATCTCCCTCTTGAACCACTTCTGTCCCAGAGAAAATATAATACGTAAACGGCTCTGATACGCTGTTATTGCCACATTATGCAAATACAAAGGTTTAAAAATTTTTTAACAAGCCCAATTTTTTTACTATTAGATTCAACAGACACAAAATTTCTCAGCCAAAATGCTATAGAAGTTTCTAAATGTTTATGTTCAATTTTTGTACTCATTTTACCATGACCAGTGACAGCATGTCATCTGCAGACCAACTTGGGAGTAGTGCACTAAGGCATTGGACAGCCCAGGACCTGCTCGTGTGAACTAATACGTAACCCAAAATGCTGGACTTAAACACCTGACGCGGTGGACCTTTGAGAGGTTGAATACAAGGTTCTGAGACATGTCACGTTTTTTCCAATGGTCTCATGGGATCGAACAAAAATCACCCCTAGCCATGTCTAATTCTATAAATAACATTCTCCTTTCTGCACAAAGGCTTCGCTTTTTATTTTTTTATTTTTTTTTAGTTTTTTTTTTTTCAACGTTTATTTTTATTTTTGGGACAGAGAGAGACAGAGCATGAACGGGGGAGGGGCAGAGAGAGAGGGAGACACAGAATCGGAAACAGGCTCCAGGCTCCGAGCCATCAGCCCAGAGCCTGACGCGGGGCTCGAACTCCCGGACCGCGAGATCGTGACCTGGCTGAAGTCGGACGCTTAACCGACTGCGCCACCCAGGCGCCCCAAGGCTTCGCTTTTTAAAACAAACATTTATGCTTAGTTAAAACTGCTGAGTTTTTCTGTGCCTCTTTTCCAATTATTTTTCACAAAGATGTTGTCTGAGCTCGGTTTTTCTCCTGAATTATATTTTATTAAAAGAGTCCTAGGCATCCTGTGTTTCCTCCTCCACAGCTTAAATGACTTTTCAAATTTCATTTCATTCAGTGTGTCATTTCTGCATTATCTAGAGACCTCACTAAAGGAACTCTACCACTTTCTCAAATGAGTATGTGATAAACACAAATACGAGCCACTACCAACTTCATATCCCATTCTTCATTCTATTCCAATTTCCATTTTCTAGCCAAGGAGCATCACAATCTTAGTTTTCTTCTTCATGTGATCAGCAGTACTACTAGTAGTGGGATTTTATTCCGGGCTGTTTTTTAAAAGGTTAACACTTTCACCCCCAGCCAAAGTTACTGTGGACTTAACAATGAATACAGAGTACAGATTACTCAAAATCTTGTCTCAGTAATATTACAAACTGTTACACGGCAGGAATCTGTGGAGTGACAGCCACATACGCCACGGTTCTAGTATATATTTAATGACTGGTTGGTTTACATTAAGAGGAAAATACTGCTAAGCCTGAAAATAGAATCCTCTTGATTCTAAGCCCCAAGAACATCTGATTTCAAGCTAAAAATGTGTAACTGACCTTTTAAATATTAAACATCTATAGTCAACAAAAGTACCAATTTGTTTAAGCAGTTTTATTAAAACTCATGCAAAAAATAAAAAATAAAAAACTTATGCCAGCTTAGTTTCAAGAAAGTTTATTTAAAAATGTGTGATTTAGTAAAAATAATAGTCTAGAATATCTGAACCAATTTAAAAATACATATATTGATCATCTACTATGAAAATACCTCTATGTGAGAGAGCTCTTGTATCAGACAACACAAAATGAAACCTTTCCACATAGTTCAGGTGAATATCCTTAGGCAAGATCCTTAATTTCAGTGTAGAATTGTTTTTTAAAAAGTAATATATAATTTTATTATATATTCTATGCAATGTATACAATTTATATACAATTATAAATTTCTAAGATACAGAGGGTACACTGTGCGAAACAAGCCTGCTCTGTATAACAGGTAACTCTAAGGAAGACTAATGCCTAAGCAATCTCATTTTGCTCTGTCATGTGTGGATCTTATTTGGATATGATTTTTTAAAAATTAAAATATTTTAAAATAATCTGGAAAAAACAAAAACAGACCAACAAATAGATCATAATTAAGAATTACTGTTAATTTGGTTGGATGAGATAACAATATTTTGGAGATGTTAAAGAAAGTCTTCATCTGCTAGAATACAGAGCATTTACACGTAAAATATTATGTCACTAAAAAAAAAATACTATAGCAAATAATAAAGGAAAATAAAAATAAAAGAAAACAAAGGAGAGGGGCTAATGGAATAGATGAAAGATGAATAGCAACAAATTAGTGACTATGGAGTCTGAGTAATGGGTACCTGAAGGTTCACAGTGCTATTTTTTTCCATTTTCAGTTTCTGAAAATGCCAATAATAAAGAATTTAATAATAACAGTTGTTTTCATTAACAAATCTATAATATTCTCAGTACCACTTAGAAGTAACAATAACAAAGAAGAAAGCTATCTAATTTGAATTCTTTAAGTAAAAAAGTCATTATAGAACTACGAAATAAAATTATAAAACAACTTTAATATTGAAACTAAAAATTTAAGCAGAAAAAATGCAAATACCAGCTTACATTTGTTCTTTAGCTTAAGGCTCAAGTATCCGTAAGCAAGGCTTGCTGAAATAATTTAGTAACACATACCTTCCATAATACGACAATATTCAAATCCACCTCACTGCACTTCTGAATCAATCTCACAGCATCCTCTAATGACTGTTTTTCAGTATGCACGGACAGCTGGGCTTGTGGTTTCTTTAATTCAGAAGATAAGCTTCGATAAAAGAAGTCTGCACATGGACTTGCTGAACTTATTATCTGTCAAAAGAAAGTCACTTATCTACATAAATGTTTTCAATTAAATACACCCTACCAAAATTTATATTTCTCTATATGTTTCTGTATAACCAAAACGCCTATTAAAAAATTTCTTGTCAATCTGTCAATAGAGGGAGGCTGTAAAACACACTAAAACATTTAAACACCTAAAATATTTGGTATAAATTACCCTGAATCTTAAAGCTGTTACCTCAAAATAATTAATCTACACTGCCATGACATTAGGTTTGACCTTCCAAGTATCCAGGAAGATGATGGGTAGCTCTAAGAAAATGAATAAAAAATAAATTATTGAAAAGTAATATTTTTTGTACTATTAAAATAACAGAAATAGTTCTCATTCGAATACTTAGAATACTAGACAACATCTAGTGAAACAGAATGCAAACTGAGTAATTGGTCTTAATGTGGCTCTTCTACTTGAAGGAAGAGAACATGAGAAAAGAATTTTTTAAAAACTTCTTAATGGAATCAGAAGTACAGGATTTCCTTTAATGGGATATTATGTTTCACAGTAAACTGTCTACACTTAGGATTCCCTTCCTTATAGGCTATATTATATAGATGCTAAGTTTCAAGTTAATTATTAAATATTAATAAATATACACATTTTCCCTTTAAGAATAAACTATTTTCTGGTAAGCAATTGTCCCCATAGTTCTCTCATTAATCTGTAGTGCTTGGGGAGTTCTATTTACTCAACCAGATTCATCAAAAGGGAAAATGTCCTTTTTTGTCTTTACTTTCTTCAGTACTCCTATACAAAATTATTTGCTAATATATACAATAAAAATTATACACTTAATATGATTTAAGGGTCTTGATTATGTCTCTAGGGATTTTAAATTTAAAAAAGAAGTGAAAAGGACAAACAACTGAAATCATGAAACCTAAATTCAGTCATTCAGGAGGCATGGCATTGCTAAAAGTATACTTGTTTTGGAATTACTGGGCTTTTGGTACTCTGAGATATTTCTAAATAACTGCTTCTTCAAATAGGCAAAAGATAGCCACAAAGAGTGAGTCAGATGAAGGCCAATGATAAGAGAAATACAAAAGCATAAGAATGTCTGGAATTATCAAATCAAAAAACACAAAGAAGAAACAATAACACAAACAGTAACGTTGGTAACAGTACCAGGGCATGCCTACGTGGAAGTTTACACCCTTGGTCCAGCATTTCTCAAAGCAAATCACCACATCACCTCGTCAGATTATATGCAGAGCTGGCTGAAAATGCATATTCCTGGGGTTAAGCTTCCAACTCTCTGATTTCAGCTTGGGTCATGATCTCACAGTTTGTGAGTTCTAGCCCCACATAGGACTCTGTGCTGACAGTGTGGAATGTGCTTAGGATTCTCTCTCTCTCCCTCTCTGCCCCTCCCCGACTCACATTGTCCCGGTCTCTGTGCCTCTCTCAAAATACATAAATAGGAAGGGAGGGAGGGAAGGAAAAAATGCATATTCCCAAACTCCCCCCAAGACATAACAAATCAAAGTTTTGGAGGCAGGAAAGCAAAATTTTCATTTTTACAAAATTCTCAGATCAAAAATAGGGTCTGAAAAAAAAAAAAGAGACTAATAACCTTAACATCATCTGGGAGCTTACAGTAATTTAGTATACATATTTTTTATTAAGTAAACTATGCCCCATGCAGGGCACGAACTCACAACCCCCAAATCAAGAGTCACATGTTCTACCAAATGTGCCAACCAGATGCTCCAGCTTATAGCAATTTAGAATCTCAGGTCCCACCCTAGTCCCACTGAAATAGAATTTGCATTTAACAAGAGCCCCACATGTTGTGAAAGTTTGAAAACCTACTCTAAGTGATTCTTACAAATAATTAACTTGAAATACTACTGTTTGGGAAAATACATTTAAAACTACAAAAGAGCTTATTATTTTGGTCTCAGAACCATATGATACACCAAAATCCAGAGAAATATCATCTTTATGTTCCACTGTAACCACTTTCCCTAATAAATTGGTTCCCTTGTATAATCTGGTTTCTTTCTTTAATACCAAGGTTTATACTTTTTTCCTGTGATACCCTCAAAAGAAAGTTAGTTTTGAATAACTAACTAAAATGGCATAATCCACATAGTATTTCTGGTCTGTTTTAGAGCATGAAGGGAAGCTGCAAAACCCAACAATGTTGACATATTCACCCACTAAAGATTTTGAGGATTACTAAAGCAATAGTTTTGCCAAAATAGATATTCCAGAACTGTGACTTTGATCCAGAAGATCAAATGCTATTGTGCTTATTTTCATACCTGTTCATTTCCAAAGATGATATCTGCAAAGGTGTATTTTTCTGAGGACTGTGTGGCAACTAAAAAACAGGGGAAAACAAGCTAATCATATCGTTGGCATGAAATATAAAATACCATTAAGAAAGTCTGAAAATAAAATGAATTTACCTTCTTTTTCCTTACATCGTATTGCCTTGAAGCAAAATTTTCCCTTCTCCCTGCTGGCAAGTTTGGCATCTAGAAAGAAAAGAAAGAAAAAATTTCAAAGATCCTTCTCAGCTTCTGACATGGTAAAACCTAATTTATTATTCAGACTTCCTTAACAATACTGGAAAATAATTCATAATTATAAATAATGTTTAATGAAAAACATCTTTGTTTTCATGTCAATAAAGCAAATTTCACTCAGCCCATAAAAAGGATGAAATTCAACTTTCTTGAAATACATGGTCACACATGTGCTTGTGTGTGTGTGTGTGTGTGTGAATAAATAATACTCATTTTATATTTATGTGTGTGTGTGTGTGTGTGTGTGTGTGTGTGTGTGTGTGTGTGAAATTACAGATAAAAGTTTAAAAGATCCGAACCTGGGAACCAGGGAGCCCACAACCCACCATTCTATCATTTCTTCATTTCCTTTCAGTATTTTTTCATATGTATGACTTACATCAATATTGCTATATGCACATACTGTGCTATGATGCATTTCCCTGCTATTACAGACACTTTTAAAATGTTAATAAATTTTAGTGACTAAAAAATAGTCTGAGTTATAATTTACATTAAAGCCACACTGAATTTCTCCCTATTAAACACAACTTTGCGATTAACTGCCCTGCTCTCAGTATACAGATTTTCCTATGTTTTGAATTAATTCCTTTGTACAAATTCCAAAAATAAGGATTACTGAAAGGCTAAGTATGAGTTTAAATATTTTTATAGCTTCTGAAATAATACTGTACAATTTTTCTCCAGAAAAAGCAAATATTTTGTCAGCTTCCCTCCACTCTTAAAAGCACTGGCATTCTCATATTACTACCAGGATAACTGACAGAAATATCCTGCAAAACAATCTGTCAATATATATCACAAGTATGTATATTCTTTTAAGTGTTATATGGGTATAAAGTCAGTCACTACAGAGGTATGGTTATACACAGAAAAAACAGCCTACCAATGGCAAAGGACACAAAAAGAACCTTCCACATTCTAGTCTATATGTTTCTGTACTGTTTGAAATTTTGGAAGTGATCATCTACTCAGGCACTGATTTTCCAACTGAATAAAGAAAATGCAAATAGAAATATGTGGAAGGGAATAAAAAGATGGGAAAGAACAGATTAAGATAGGTAATTTGATTCACAGTCACTTGAACTAATGAAAACACAACTTAATGCTTAAAAAAGTTAATTATAAAAAAGGTACCAACAATCTTCTGATATTATAGTACTATTCTGAAAAAAATCAAGCAATGAAGATTTGAAAATTTACTATGAAAAGGAAAATAAAGCACAAACCTTTGTTTTCAGAGAGATTTACAGATTTCTGGAATTTCCAGTGTTTGCTACTACTCGATACTTGTACTATATGGAATTCCTTAACACCTGCTTCACTCTATCAAAAAGAAATAAGAGTCATTTAAGATTTAGGGGCATGAACTTAGAATATTCTAATGTAAATAATATTCTGACTCTGCTACCAAAGTAAGTATTAATTAACATAAGATTAAATTTTTATTTTAAAATAAATAATATACATTTCGGAATGCTTACGTTATTTAAATCCCTCCTTAAACTTACTTAGAGAAGTCAACATTTTATATGAGAACTGTATTTAACTATGATGTACTCCCACTGGAGTATTCAGTCATTAGAACCTATCATAATGAGTTACTGATAGTATTTAATCAAACAGTATTTGTTGTCAATTTTTAATCAAAACTGTAGTATTTTTTTTATTCCTTCTCATCTTTCTGAGATATCTCATTGTCATTAAGGCAAAAATAAACAAAAATTGAACAAATCAGAATCTCCATACACAGCCAATGCACATAAAGTTAATCTGTATACAATTTTTCATTTACCTGGAAAAGAGCTAATTTGAAATTATTACAATTTTCTTACTTTTACAAATGTTATTTTCTTTAAAGATCACCAAAGTATTAAGCACATAAATCCTAAATATCCTAAAAAGCAACCTTACAAATTTATGAAGCTAAAACAAAGGACATTACAGAATTCATTACAGAATAAGCAACACCATGTAAGTATCTGAACTGAATCAATTTGATGCTAAGATGCTATCTTATTATTATTAAGTAGGCTTCACACCCAGAGTGGAGTGCAATGCAGGGCTCGAACTCACAACCCTGAGACCAAGACCTGAGCTGAGATCAATGGCCTTACCAACTGAGCCACCCAGGTGCCCCACTAACATGTTATTTTAATAATGAGATCACATTTCCTTCTTTAATACTCATTTTTATATTTAGAGTATATAAATAAACAGGAATGATAAAATGCTTGAAATGCTTTATATAAGGAAAATGGTACCCTCAGAAATATGTAAGTGACGATTACCAAGTTAATAATACTGAATGGAAAATCCTAATACAGAACTTTGTAAATTTAATTACATCAACAGATTCTGAATGGTGAGACTAGAAAGCACTCTATCAGATCTCTTTTGGGTTTAATTACTCACGTATAGGGCTACCTTTCATATGATACATACCATATTAATGCCACCAGGTCATTTTATTTGAAGAGACTTAAAATCACAAAGCTAATAGAAAATTAAGACGTTTTCACACTGTTGTATATGAATATTCCTAAATTCCTAGCTTATGCTATCTTGTGAAAAAAGAATCCTTTACTAAAAATAAAGGAAACACTTCCACTATAATTAAAAATAAAATTTAGTTTTAAACCAACTTACAGTATTGGTATTTTCCACATCCACAAAGACTAACATATTGCCCCCTCTGCCCTCCTCATCTTCAAGAGAATTACTTCTGCAGACAGTGGCCCGTACATTCAAAGATCGGCTGGTACAAATGACTGCAGTGTGTCTTAATATTCTGTGACTAAAGAAATAAAAAATAGCAAGTTTAATGTAAGAACCTCTCCATGTGTTATGATTCTCTAATTCCAAATAAAGCTTTTAAAACCTAATTGCTCTCAGGACCACTTATACTCAGAAAACAAAACAAAAACAGAATAATAAAGTAAAATTATGTAGTGTAACTTCCGTTCAATTCTTCTCAGTTCAGAAGGAAACTAATAGTCACCTTGACTCTAGGCATGTCTGCTTACCAAACTCATCAGTCTAGCACAGGAAAATAATTTTCATGCAGCCATGTCCTCATTATGCTTCTTCTCTGACAGTGGTTCCAAAGTAACTGATCCCCTATCAAGTAAACTTCAAACTTTAACTTGGCATTCAAAGCCCTCCACAATACAGCTATTTACATTTCCATGTTAATTCCCCGTTACTTTTTTTTTTTAATGTTGCCTCCTAAATTTTTTTTTTAAATGTTTCACATTTACTTATTTTTGAGACAGAGAGAGACAGAGTGTAAGTGGGGGAGGGGCAGAGAGAGAGGGAGACACAGAATCCAAAGCAGGATCCAGGTTCTGAGCTGTTAGCACATAGCCCAACGCGGGGCTAGAACTCACGAACTGTGAGATCATGGCCTGAGCCGAAGTCAGACGCTTAACTGACTGAGCCACCCAGGCGCCCCATAATTTTTTTTTTTTAAAAGTACAATTGAAATATACTATCCTATTAGTTTCAGGGATAAATCATAGTGATTCAGTATTTTTATATATTATGAAATGATCCCTTTGATAAATCTAGTGACCACCTATCATACAAAGCTATTGCAATATTACTGACTATATTCCCTACACTGTACATTGCATCCTCATGACTTCTTTTATAATTGAAAATTTGTACCTCTTAATCCCCTTCACCTATTTCGCCTACTCCACCAACTCCTCCCTACTCTGGTAACCAACAGCTTCTTTCTTCTATGAGTCTGTTTCTGTTTTTTTTTGGATTCCACATACAGGTGAAATAATGTGGTCTGTCTTATTTTACATAGCATAATACCCGTCCAGGTCTCCACCCATGTAATCACAAATGGCAAGATTTCATTCCTCTTTATGGCTGAGTAACGTTCCTCTGAGTGTGTTTGTGTACACATGTGCATTGCACATCTTTATCCTTATCAACAGGACACCTAGGTTGCCTCCACAACTTGGCTAATATTATAAATAATACAGCAGTGAACAAAGGAATGTATGTATCTCTTTGGATTGGTGATTTTGTTTTCTCCAGATAAATACCAGAATTGAAATTGCTTTATATGGTAGTTCCATTTTAATTTTTTGAGAAACTTCCATACTGTTTTTCTAAGTGGCTGTACCAATTCACATATCCACTAACAGTGTATATGTGGGTTCCTTTTTCTCCACATCCTCACCAATATATATTACTTTGTGTCTTTGATAACAGCCAATCTGACAAGTGTGAAGTAATAGCTCATTGTGGTTTTGATGTGCATTTCCTTGATTAGTGATGCTGAGCATCTTCTCTTGTGCCTGTTGGCCATCGGTAGGTCTTCGGAAAAATGTCTACTTAGATCCCCTGCCCATTTTTAAATTGGGATTTTTTTTCTTTTTTAAATTTTTTTTAAAGTTTCTTTATTTTGAGTAAGTGGGGGAGGGGCAGAGAGAAAGGGAGAGAGAATCCCAAGCAGGCTCTGTACCATCAGTGAGGAGCCCAACGTGGGGCTCAAACTCACAAACTGCAAATTCATGACCTGAGCCAAAACCAAGAGTTGACACTTAACCGAGCCAACCAGGCGCCCCTAAATTGGGGTGTTCTTAATATTAATTGTGTAAGTTATTTATATTTTTGGATATTAACCCCTTGTTGGATATATGATCTGCAAATACTTTGTCCCATTCAGTAGGATGCCTTTTTGTTTTGCTGATGGTTTCTTTGTGCAAAAGCTTTCTAGTTTGATGTGATCCCATTTGTTTTCGCTTTTGCTGCCCTTGCCTGAAAACACTGGTCCAAAAGAATATTGCTAAGATCAGTATCAAAGAGCTCACTGCCTATGTTTTCTTCTAGGAGTTTTATGGTTTAAAATCTTGCATTCAAGTCTTTACTCCATTGTGAATTATCTTTGTTTATGGTGTAAGGTAATGGTCCAGGTTCATTCTTTTATATGCAGTTGTCCCATTTTCCCAACGTCATTTATTGAAGAAACTATCTTCTCCATTGTATATTCTTGCCTCCCTGGTCAAGACTAATTGACCACATATGCATGCATTTATTTCTGGGTTTTCTATTGTGTTCCACTGATGTGTGTCTATTTTCGTCCCAGTATCATACTGTATTGATTACTATAGCTTTGTAGTATAGTTTGAAATCAGGTAGCATGACAGTTCCAGCTTTATTCTTCTTTCTCCAGAATGCTATTTGGGGTCTTTTGTGGTTCAACACAAATTTTAGGATTCTTTGTTCTCATTCTGTAAAAAATGCCAATCGTATTCTGATGGGGCTTGAACTGAATCTGTCGATTGCTTTGGGAAGTATGAACATATTAACAATATTAATTCTTCCAATCCATGAACACAGTGTATCTTTCCATTTATTTATGTCATCTTCAATTTCTTTCATCAATGTCTTACAGTTTTCACAGTACAGGTCTTTTATCTCCTTGGTTAAATTTATTCCTAGGTATTTTATTCTTTTTTACGCAATTGTAAATAGGACTGGTTTCGTAACTTCTTTTTCTGATAGTTCATTATTAGCATCTAGAAATGCAATCAATCTCTGTATGCTAATTTTGGATCCTACGACTTTACTGAATTCATTACTTCTAACAATTTTCCCTTCTTTTACACATATTTTACACTGCGACCAAACTAACTATATTCAGTTTATATTTCCTAATTTGCAAATCTTCATTCATATATACAGCCACTCCCTGGAACACCCACTACTCTCTTGCCTATCCCCCTTGATACCCAAATTTTGAAATCTTTACTTTCCTTGGAAGGTCATTTCACCACTACTATATTCTACAAAGCCTTCTCTGACTGCCTTGGCCAGAGTATGCTCTATTGTACTCTGAAGGAGAATATTATTGAGTATCTAATATGTCCCCATTATAAATACTGTATCATTTTGTCCTCAGAAGTCTTATTTTAGATATTCCATTAATAAATGGAGTAATACAATTATTCCTAGTTAATTTTATAAAAATGACAGCAGCATTATCACAAATAAAATAACCTGTTGTTTAATGATTTATAGGCCACAGACCCTTGTGAGTGCCAAGGTAAATTTCTTCAGTGACCCTTATTATAACACCACTCTAATCATCTGTTCTGCAAATATATATTTTCCCCCCATACATTCCCAGGAGTCAGAAGAGGGCACAGGGAAAAGGAAAGGTAAAACGAAGTAATTTTCTTGAAACAGGATGACTATCGACAGGTTGTTTTCACATACAAATGGTACCTGTGAACTTCATTATTATGTGGTAACTTTGGCCCTGGTACTTGGTCGAATCAGAGAATCATGAAGTTAACAGACAGAAGCCACTAAGAAGATTATAGTAGCCTAATTTTTTTCACTTTTGGCTACTTAGAACTTAGATTAGGGACAAACTCAATTATAAACATCATGCATAATACAGAAGGGAGTAATTTTTTAAATAAACAATGACAGATGTTAACAAATATCAAAATGTTTATTTGAATTTGTGCACATACATTAAACACAGAGCTTAAATCAAGAAAGTTTTATAATACTCACCGGATCTTAGGCTGCTTTTTAACACTTTCATAGTAAAACAAAAAGTTAATTTCATGGACACCTTCTTCATCTGGCCCACGTAACCACATTGGTAGCTGGACTGAAGCTCCAGGTAGAAGAACAGTGTCAGGAAGGGGAACAGGAATCACCTCTGGCTGACTCCCTATGCCAATGCCAAAGTCTACAGAGGAAGCCGATGATATGAGTGCCGTACACACAGCGGTAGAGTCTGTCGCAACAGTCTTGTAAGCACTACAGTTCTCAGAAGCTGAAGGACTCAGTGGTGTTAGAACAGCTGTGTTACCACCAAAAGTAAAGAACTCTGGACGTTTAGAAACAACCTTCAATCCAGTAAGAGGACTTTTGCTGACATTGACAAACTCTACATATGCTTTTCGGATTTCTCCACAGAGGAGCCCTGTAGGGAAATGTATAAAGAATACCTGCATTGGAGGGAAAAAATATTATTATATTGTCTGTTAAAAATTCCGAACCTCTAATGAATAATAAGTTGTTATATTTCTTTATAAAGAGAATTTCATTAATTCTCTTTGATATCTCCCTGAATATGTGGCAATTAACAATACCATTTTAGAAAATGTTATTCAACAGCAGATGTCAGAGGTATGAATTAAAGACAAAACATCAGTGACAAGTGAGTATCAGCAAAACTCTGACGACTGTGTAGACTATGGGTAAGAGAAGTTGTAAGAAATATAACATAGCTATGTGAATTAAATAATTGTCAGTTGAAAAGCCCTTATCAATGTCAACTTGAAAAGTAGCTCAACTATTTGTTTACACAACAAGATGAAAAGATACCCCATAAGTCTTAAATGGGAGGAATGTACAGATCCATGATTCCATATCCATAATTTTAAAACCAAAAAGCTCCAAATGACCTCAAACGTTTAGTAACTCACATGGGAACAAAACCCGATCTAACAGAGGCTTTTTATACCCTTTCCCATTTAGTGTGATAGTCCTATGGTTCAGTCACACAATATTAATTTGCTTGATTTCCAGATGCTACCACAAACCCAACAGGGGTTACATAACACTTTATATAAGAAACCACACACACACACACACACACACACACACACACACA